ATAAAAAATCGGTTTCCCCATTTGGACTATAGTGTGTGTGATTGTGAAAGGGAGAGAGGGAGGAGTGAAACTGCATAGAGAAACAGAATACTATGTGTCTAGCTCCATGTGACTCATCTCATCTTATGTGCTTTGCATTACAAGTCTTGTCCTTATTTCCTATACCTCACAACTTTTCTTCACACACACCCACACACTCAAAAGTGTGTATTTTCATCCCAATAAGGACATTTCTTTTCCTGAAATCTAGATCCAATTAAGGCTTTAAATTCTTGGAAACGCCTCATAAGAGATCTCCAAAGAAAAACAAACATAGATTTCTGTACATTTTCAACATATGGCTCGACTCCAAGATTTCAGTCTGAAAAAGGTATTGTTTTTGCTTCTTCTCTTGGTTTTCTTTACTTCAAAATTCAGTTCTGCACACCAACCAAAAAGTTTTGGTAGAAGAAGATCAGTGTTAGAGGTAGTAGAAAAAGATGAGCCAGTTATTAAGAAGAAAACTACTTCTACCAAACTATCTTCCTCAAAAAATACAACCAAGGTTATTAAATCCAACGCAAGTTCATCGAAGAACCAAACCAAGCTCATTAAATCCAATATTGGTTCAACCAAGAACCAAACCAAACTTATTAAACTTCCTTTTGATTCTGCCAAGAACAAAACCAAGCCTATTAAATCCACCTCTGATTCCATTAAAGATTCTAAAACCACTATCAAATCCCAGCTCAAGAAACTAAATTCCACTTCAAAAACCTCAAATTCTACTACGACAAAGACCAGTTCAATTTCCCCCAAGAAATCTTCAGATTTAACCAAACTGAGCTCATCCAAGAACAAAACAACAAAGCTCATTACCAGTAAAGAAACCAAAACCAAAATCCAGTTGGAAAAGATTCTCAGTGAGTCCAAATCCAAAAACCCAGAGAAAACCCAGCCCAAAAAAGCCCAAAAACAGTCACAGCCAAGCTGGATAGATCAAGATGATGATGAAGATGACTTGGTTTCTGGTTTCAGAGATCTCCCATCCAAGTTTCAAGAAACTCTCTTGCCAGATTTGGAAAGAATTTCCCAAACCTCTAAAGTTTATCTTACAAAATACAATAAAGAATTTACCAAAGGATTCAAACCATACGTTGGGAACAAATATGCTCCCATGATTGCCTCTATAGCCTCATTTGCCTTCATTTTGATCCCACTGGTTCTCGTTTCTCTAATTTTCAACAGAATCACAGCCTATTTTTCACTTCAAAAAGTCTTGATTTTTATCCAAGCTTATTTGACCATATATTTCTCCATGCTCTGCTTATCTTCTTTGGTCACTGGGCTTGA